AGCTCAAACATGGCCTTTTTTTTTTTTGCTGTGTGCAAATTTTACTTCACAGGGACAGCAATGTAGGTACCTTTTTTCTGAAAATGAACTTGATTGGATATATAAAACTTAGAATGCTCTTCTCCATCATTGAGTGAATTACTACTACATGATCAACAGAAAAAGGCACAACAATAACTTTTTAATACATTTATGTTTACCATCAGCTTCCCACAGACAGTAACAGCATCAACTAATGCCTACTCTGTAAAAAATGATTGTGATTTTAACAGTAAAAGACTGTAAAAATGCTACAGTAAAAACCCTGTTAACAGTAAGTTTCCATACTATATTCGGTGAATAAATGTAATTACATTTAATGTGATTTTACAGTAAAATACTGTTTTTGGAAGTGAAAAATAAAAAGTCGTATAATTTACAGTGAAAAACCGTAAATTGACACTCCCAGAATTCACTGCATGACATTTCATATTTGATATTTTTTTGTTGAAATAACTGATTCTTCTTAAGTTTTTTCTTATCAGTTGTGTACATTAGGGTTTTATCTTACATCTAATGTTGTTAAATTAATGTTATTGCATTATTTCAGTATCATGTGTGTTTCCATGATGGTGTTTAGTGTTTGTGTGAATGAGACTGTGCACCTTCTATATATAAATATTGCCCTCCTCAGCTCGTAGAGAAGCTGTTTGTGATGAGCTTTGGTTCATCATGTGAATTTTTCATCACCACCAGTTTTTGGTGGTTATCAGTGCATTACAATGGATCAAAACAGATATTAGTACTTCAATATGTTGGTTTATTAATATTACATCAGTTAATGAAATACGGTATTTTATTGTGAATTTAAGTTAAGTCTGTAAAACCTAAAATGTTGCTACCATATTTTTTACGGTGAAGTTCTGGCAACCACAGCTGCTGGTATTTTACCGTAAATGTCACAGATTTCCTTTACAGTGTAAATAAAGCATTGCTAATTGTAATTTACTCCTGTGATGGCAAAGGTGAATTTTCAGTATCATTACTCCAGTCTTTAATGTCACATGATTCTTCGAAATCATTCTAACATGCCTGTTATTATCATGAAAGTTAAAAACAAGACCGTTTTCTAAATATTTAAACTGTGATAGATTTTTTTAGGATCCTTTGATGAACAGAAAGTAAAACAAAGCATTAGTTTGAAACAGAAATATTGAAATTATACATGTCTTTACTGTCACTTTTAATCATTTTAACTCTTCCTTTCTGAATAAATGTAAATTACTAAAATTATTAAAATACCAGGCAAATGCTAACTACAAGTTAACATTAAAGGAAAATCAAAACACAAAATATGCACATATATATTAACAAAGGAATATTAAAATAAAGTTCTACTTACCACTGGCTTGCAGATGGAGTTTAATCGTTCCTGAAGAGCTTTTGCTTCTTCATCCAGTTCTACATTACAAAAAAAACAATAACTAGATAAGATGACTTCCTTATCAATTGTTTCATAAAAAGGTCAAGGCTTTACACTTAAGCTTGCCTCTTTAATCACAGTAAAGGCATTTATTTTCCATGAATGGATTAATAGACACATCAGCTAAGTTTAGCCGGCGTACAGTTGCTGCAGCTGAGTTCCTCCAGGCTGTAGTTAGTTAGCACTGATAAATGACTGAGTCAGTGCAGAGGTAATTACAGCTAATGTTATCTGCAGCAGCCTAAAGCTGAAGGAGCTAATGAGACCAGAGACGAGCTGCTCGGGCCTGTTTACAGCGGGGCCGGAGAGAGGGCCCATCCCTGGAGCCCCGTTAAATCTTCCAGTGGGCTCCTGGATGGACTTCTACCTGGAACCCGAGATATAATCATCCTAGGAAAAAGAAGACTTAATGGGACATTGATGTCGGTTAATGCTAATATCTATTTCCTAATATATCACCATCAGCGATCGCACGCATAACTCTGGTTGGTTATTAATTGCGAGAGAGATAAATAGTAAATATTTAATTCCCTGGTCATTTTTAAGCAAGTTTATCTTTTAATTAGATGTGTTAGGAGATTATCATTAAAATCAAAATTTTAAAGCTGTTTTCATGCTAAAATGTGATACTAGTTGATACTAAATAGCTGATTTATGCAAACCTATTAATGCAACAAGACTATATATCTATAAATTATACCTCACAATCAGTCTAATAGACTGTAGTGGGGTTGAAAGTTCTGAGACAATATTTAAAAACGGATTTTTTTTTCATTTAATCCTTAAAATACATGACGTTTTGGATTCAAACAAATGTAACATAAAAGGAAGTAGTAGTATTTGATTAGTATTATCTAATAAAATGTAAGCAAATAAGTGGACAGTGATCACGTCAACTGATATTGTTTAACTTTCATTATGTCATTGTTTTTACTTAAATTCTTATACTGATAATATAATTTGTAACAAAAAGGTCAAATAAAACAAGTAAAAAAAGAAAACAAAAACTAAATGAAACAAACAAAAAAACAAACAAACTAATGCTGTCAAAATATTAATCGTGATTAATCGCATACAAAATAAAAGTTTTTGTTTGCATATGTGTGTGTTCTGTGTATATTTATTATGTATATATAAATAAACACACATACAGTATACATTTTGAAAATATTTACATGTACTTATATGTCTATATTTATATTCATATAATTTATAGAATAAATAAATTTGTTTAATATAAACAACATATTTTTCTGAAATATATACATGCATGTGTGTGTATTTATATATACATAATAAATATACACAGTACACACACATATATTATGCAAACAAAAACTTTTATTTTGCATGCGATTAATCACGATTAATCGTTTGGCAGCACTAAAACAAACAAAACAAAACTCTTATTAGATCATGATAAATAAATGTAATTATTTATTTACCACTGGTGTCTCATATTGCTGATTCTACTATTCTACGAACGTAATAAGACACAAGAGGCAGCGTGTTACATTTTCACATAGGTTTTAGGCACTCTGCTTCACACCTCTTAACTGTGGTAAAAACACTGTAACACAGCATCCTGTGGCTTAACACTTAACTCTAATGGTTCTAGGAACCCTAATATATTCTACCTCCAGATTCTGTCTCCTTCCCTCTCCCTGGACTTTTGCCCAGGGTGGTGACAGCAGTGCTGAGCTGTGCTTGCTCCTCTGCGCCCTTACCCCCCAGCCCGTTCTGGAGATCTCCTCCTGACGGCAGCGTCCCGCGGCTCTTCTGTGGGGATGGAGGGGGACTGTCTTTGGAGAGGGCCAGGACTCCACCTCCCCCTCCGCCCACCCCCTGCCTCTCTTTCAGTTTCTTCTGCAGGCGCTCGTAGGTTTTGCTAGCCCTTTCATCTCTGTGAGCAAATGCCGCACGTCCATGTGGAGGGTGAGTATCTGAGGAAATTGGAAAACAGAGAAATGTAAGGAATAATGTGAAACGGATAGTTGAATTATTGAAAAATTATGTACAGGTGATAATGCCGCCAATTTGTGCGAAGTGTATCCCTTTGGGGACTTTCTGAAATGTATAAACACTTTAGCAATTATATTTATATATATAAAAAAAGCTGCAAAAATGTCTTATCCTATAAATGCAAAAAGGGAGAATTAGGGTGTGTAGGTAGTATAATTAAGTAAAAACAATAGCTATTTATGATAGTCTGTTATGCATATTGCTATTTTGGTGTTATTTATACGCTGTTGTAGGCCTGGGCGATAAACCGGTATCGATATTTATCGACGGTACACCTTCTTCTATAACGATATAAAAAAAATTCGATATAGGCACGTGCTATGAGTGACGCATACAGCACACACGAACACATGCTGAATTGAGTGCTGTGCCTGCCTGTGATGAGGAGATTGTAAATAAAGAATGAATATTAGTCGAATTTAAAATAAACATTTGCATTTGAATGTTAGGTGTGCATCAGGGAGCATCATTAGCGGCGCAAATGCAATTTACAAAATTATATTTGACTTATATGAGTTCATTTAGACGGAATGCAGGTTTTTTTATAGACATTTATTTCCTTGCATTGACAATTTAAATGTGCTGCATTATTTTGCTCATTGCGCCCTCCTGTGGCCTTGGGAGACAAGCCAAAAGTTTCCTTTGTCTGAAGGAGGGACTTTGTAGAAAACGAAGCGTTTGAGAGAGGCGGGGCATAGAGGACCTACAATAATGTACAGTATTTGAAAAATAATGTGTTTTTTGAACATTAAAGCATGTCAACATATTCTGTTACACCAAATACACAAAATAATGATCTTTAAAAAAGCATCATATGACCCCTTTAAAACTTTAGAAAACAAGTCGCGAATTTGTGGAGGTTTATTCCTTTTCACTGCGTCTCATATGTTTTTAAATGCAATCTGAGTGAATGGCGCTTCGGCTCTTTGGATTAAGCAATGCATAAATACATGATGCTGTTTTGTTCATAATTGTTAATGCAATTTACAAAATTATATTTGACTTATATGAGTTCATTTAGACGGAATGCAGGTTTTTTTATAGACATTTATTTCCTTGCATTGACAATTTAAATGTGCTGCATTATTTTGCTCATTGCGCCCTCCTGTGGCCTTGGGAGACAAGCCAAAAGTTTCCTTCAGACCTATTTAATCTCACATTGGCGCCCTTTGTTTAGTCACGAGGCGTTAGGTTATAAAAGGTTATAAAAAATGTCAATAATTATCGATACCGAACAATATGAAACATTATATCGTTGATACATTTTTTAGCTATATCGCCCAGCCCTACGCTGTTGTAGCATTTATTAATATTTTTTAAATTTGCTTCTATTTTTACATTTTTTGTAAATGTAAAAAAAGTTAATTTTGTGCTTTTGCCTTTTTAAAATGTATTTATTTATTTTAAACATTGTTATTTAGCTTTTTTGTTTTTTATTTCAGTTTAGGTTTTAGTCATTTTATAGCTTTAACAAAATTATTTACTTAGTTGTCAAGGGAACATTTCAAATTTTCATTTTTAGGTTTTAGTCATTTTATAGCTTTAACAAAATTATTTACTTAGTTGTCAAGGGAACATTTCAAATTTTCATTTTTCATCTAATATTTAAATATTATATCAGCTATAGTAGTTTTAGTTTCATTCAACACTAACAATACCAATTATGCCATTAATATTAATAAAACAACAATATTGTCATTGTTCTTATTTTTTCTTTATTACTGACTGTTTACTTGAAAATCTTCATTATTAAATACTCTAATATTTAACAAAAACTTAACCTCAATATTTAATAAAAACAAACTAAATGCCATTGACTTAATTTACTTTATTATGTATTAATATTAACATGAACAGTATTATTAATATTCAGTCACAGGTTAAATGACTGATATTAACTTCTAATATTAAATAAATTACTGTTAATAATTACATTTAAATATATTAATTACTAAATATATTTATTAGTTAATTTTCATGTAAAATTTGTTCATTTGTGTTTTTAATAACATATTGCATAACATCAAAATATTAGTAAAGTGAGCTGAGTCTACGGTAAAGGTAAGTGTTTCCTACAGGAATTTGTTCTTGTTGTGTTCAGTATTTACTGGCAACATATTTCACAGCTTTCAGTCTTTCTCTCTCTGAGAGTCCAAAACTCAGCTAAAATATAGGCCTATAATTTTTCCTTGAAGAGTCAGCAGAGGTGCAGCATGCCATCCTCACTCTTGGTGAGGCAAAAGTGTGTGTGTGTATGTAAACTGACCCTGCTCTGAGTAGATGGTCGTGTGTGCTGGATGGTACTGGGAGATGTACTGGGGGTTCATATCTCCGGTTCCTCCAGCCATGCCTGAGTACAGGTGAGGGGGAGGGTGCATGATGTGCGGGTGGGGGATGAAGGCCTGCAAGTGGGCGTGGGGCGGTGGAGGAGGTGGGTGGTGAAGCGGGGAATGGCCCCCCGGATGAAACTCCGTCTGAGGTAAGACCAACACCCGCCTTACTCCGTTCTCCTCAATGATCTATATGGAAAGATAGAGAGAAAATTACACAGGACATACTGCACATACCATTCTTTTAGCCTGATTTGAGTTAAAGATTTTGATATCTTTTTGAAATGTACAGCATTTTAGAATTGATTTTGTTTGATCTGTTCCAGTTCTAGCTCTTTTAAAGGCAGGAATGTGTCCTAAGGCAGCATCATTTTGCAGACTAATGTCAGAAATAGCTTTCACTTTGACAGTGCCTATGATGCCAGAAAACGCTGCTAGGTAGGATGCTTAAATGGTTTGGAAAAGGGCCACAGAGACATAAATTAGACTGAAAATTGCATTCTTTTCACCAAACCAAAATAACAACTCCCATAAACATAATGTAAAACTAGTTCCGTAATGACTCACCTGTTGAACGTATCCAGGAGGCACATAGATTTGAGGCACTGAACCGTTTGGGGACATCATGGGAACCTGAGCAGGACCTGTAGAGGAAACATTATGAACAATAAATATGAAAGTCAAACACACACCACGTCAAGTCACATTTATTTCTATAGCGCTTTATACAATACAAAGTGATTCAAATCAGCGTCACAGTGACACATGTGATCTAAAGTACATTGCTCCCTAAATCACGTTTTTACTTTCGTAATGTGATGCATTTCGGAGTGAAACAGAACTTGTGTATATATATATATATATATATATATATTAGGGATATGCCGGTATCAAATTTTCATGTTGCGATTAATTGCTAATGCTTTTATCACGGTATACGGTATTATCACAATATTGAAATTTAGTTTTAAAAAAAAGTGGTGTCATAATACAGTATAACAGGTTTAATAACTTTTTTCTTATAACAAAAATAACGGACCATTTCAATACAATAAAGCAATACAGAAAGTTAAACGTTTTACACAGATTAAAGTGCAAAATAACTATAAAGACCAATAGGTATCACTTTACAATAAGACCTCATTAGTTAACCTTAGTTAATGCATTAACATTCACAATGAGCAATAGCTACATTTGCTACAGATGTTATTAATCTTCGTAAAAAAAAAAATACAAGTTTTAGTTCATGTTAGCTCTTTAAATAACACAGTTGTAACTTTCGATTTTAACAACGTGTTATTAAATATTGGAATACCTAAGATTAATGAACGTTCAGAATAATTTTTCATTGGCAGTTTATGTTAACTAATGAATTAAATAATGTTAACTAATGAAGCCCTAATGTAAAGTGTGACCGAACAATAAAGAATCAAAACACTTTCAAACAATATCTAGGGCATGTTGTAGTACAGATTAAAATGTAAAAAAAGTTTGAAAATAAATAGCCTATTAAGTCTAAATATTTAAGTATTTGGCACTGTGATGAACACCATAGCAAATACTATCACTTTACAATAAGACATCATTAGTTAACCTTAGTTAATGCATTAACATTCACAATGAGCAATAGCTACATTTGCTACAGATGTTATTAATCTTCGTAAAAAAAAAAATACAAGTTTTAGTTCATGTTAGCTCTTTAAATAACACAGTTGTAACTTTCGATTTTAACAACGTGTTATTAAATATTGGAATATCTAAGATTAATGAATGTTCAGAAGAATTTTTCATTGGCAGTTTATGTTAACTAATGAAGCCCTAATGTAAAGTGTGACAAACAATAAAGAATCAAAACACTTTCAAACAATATCTAGGGCATGTTGTAGTCCAGATTAAAATGCAAAAAAAAGTTTGAAAATAAATAGCCTATTGAGTCTAAATATTTAAGTATTTGGCGCTGTGATGAACATCATAGCAAATACACAAATCTGAATGGCTGTTTAATATGGGATTAAATTTCTGCCAAAATTCTGCGAGCGAAAGATCATATTTTGAGCGCGCAAAAGTGCGTTTTGCACGTGCGTGAACTGAGTTTTGTGGAGAAAATTTTGTCTCGCAAAGAAGCAAGTATTTCGAACGCACGAAAATCAATTTTGCATTTAAAATACGTTTTATGATGTGTGCAGACCTTCTCTTTTGCGCGTGCAACGTTTTACTAGCTTGCTCACCTGATACCCGCCCTCAGTGCTCTCTAAATGCCAACAGCTCGCGTGCTCAACACAACCCAGCGTTACAATATGCCATAATTCCAGCCAATCAGATATGAGGCTGCTAAATTCTGATTGGCTGCCTTGACAACCAATCACAACATTCCTTCCGTTCCCTCCACCGCAGACGAGGAAAAAAACAGT